GAATTGTATTGAATGATGAGAGGATTTTTTGGTAGTTAAGTTTGGTGAAAAGGATTGTTGTAAATTTAGATAAGAGAAATTTGAAAGTTGAATGGATAATATCGAAATGAATTGTAGTAGCTTTATTGATTTTTGGATTTGCATTAAAGATGAGGTCAGTGAGAAAATCAGGACGCTAACTAGCTATCGATATAATGAGATATTTAAAGTTGCTTTTTGAAGCAGAGTGTTTTCAGATACTGGTTTAAGAATTTTTTCTGGTATAAAATTGATAAGATTTGGTTTTAGGAAGTTGAAAAGTTTAATCAAAACTTGTATATTGAGTTGGGTATGTTGTTCCATTTCCTCAGTTATGGGGAAAGCTTTGAACCAATCGAGGTCGTTTGAAGTATCTCTTTTGGATAGTAGTTTTTTAGTAAGTTTGGTAAGAACCGATTTGAACAGAGCCTTTTTTTAGTCAGTAGTCATTAGACTAAATTTGATAAAATGAAAAGTGTTTTGCTGTATTAATGTTAGAGGTTTAGATTAGGGAAGTGGTTTGATTTTAATATTATTAATGCATTTAGAGTGAACTGAGAAGCCTTTAAGAATAGATTCAGATTGGAAAGAATGGTTTTCATTTGAAAAAAAATATAAGAGATGTTTTTTTGGTGACAGACTAAGCACATGTGAACGTGGTAAGAGTGAGCAGTAATTGGGATTTGTTTGTTGAGAGGATTTAAATTTGTAGAAGATGTTGCAATACTTTAAGTATCATAGTTGAATGGGAAGGGGGGTAAAGAAGTTGTATTTTGTTTAATCGGTAATTTAGGGATTTGGTCTTGGATTTTTTAAACTGGTTTTGGTGTAATATCCATAGGTATAGGAGTATTGGGGTTTGGTGTAGGAGTGTTAGGTCTGGAGATTTCCAAAGTATGGTGTTTGGAGGTAAAATACGTATAGTATTTTTTGCAGAAATAGTTGATTAAAGAAGGTTGGGTTGGTACGTTGAAGTAGTGGAGTTGTTTAGTAGATGCATATTGGGAAGGATTGAAGGCAAAAGGCATTGGTTTGAGTTGAGCAAGATTTTGTTCGTGTGTAACTACACCATATCTGTCACTATATTTAGATAGGAAGTAGTCCAAGTCGAAGGAGTCAGGTTCATGTTGAGTAAGAGTAGGCATATTGTTAAGATGTTATATTTGTTTTAGAAGTGTCGTAGAGAGGTTTTGGTAATTTTGTAATATTATATTTGAGATGAGAGCGAGAAGAGCTTTCTGAGAAGGTATAGTTTAGTTTGCATAATATAACACTAGTTGTGTAATCCACAAAGTGGCTAGTGTAGCTTGTGGCTAGTGTGGCTAATATGGTACAAAGCTTGATGTGCATCACCAAGCTAAAAATAGTAAGATTTTATTGTTACGTTGTACTAAATTAGAATTAGTACAAATATGTAAGTAATTAATTTGTGTTTAATTAAAATGAATTTAAAAGGGAAGTTTTAATAATTAGTGCTATTTTGGGATGAACCAATGAATTTTAGTTGATTGGTCACGTGATTTAGGTTCGGGTTTGAGGAAGGAAATAGAGAAGAATTTTATTTTTTAGAATTTTTTAGAAAAAACTTTGAATGAGTTTTCCTTTGATAATTTAGCGAGTTTTTATCCGTTTTTTATAAAATATATATGTATGTGAAGCTAAAATTGAGCTGGACAAAACTCTTTTAGTGATCAAGAGTTGTTGTCTTAGTAAAATTCGGAGATAATAATAAAATTGTTATATTAACTATTAAAGTAAATATCTTTGCGAGTTTAAGTCCGAAAGATATAATATTAGACCCTACTGAAGCAGAATCTTGTGTAGAACAATTTTGCTTAGTGGCCTAAGAAGGGTTTACTTAGTAAGATATTTAGTTATGAACAAATGTTTTTTAAAAGTTTTGGTACAAGTGATCTACGGGAAGAGTTAGTAGTTTTGACTTATACTTTACTTTTAAAAATTCTTAGATCTTTATTTAAAATTTTATTTTATTTATTTTTTTTTAAAAAAATTTTTAAACTTTTATTCTATTATTTATATTTTATTAATTTATTACTAATACTCAATTAGTTATATAAATTAATTAATTAAAAATTTACTTAATTAGTTATCTGAAAATTATTTAATTAAAAATTTACATAATTAGTTATTTAAAAATTATTTAATTTGAGTTAATTAATTGATTAAAACTTAACTAGTTTAAATTACTAGTATAAATAATAATAGCTTTATAGTTACTTATTAAACACATGACCAGTAATGTTATACAAATATCAAATATCACGTAGCGAAGCACAGGAAACTGGTTTTTTTTTTTTTAAATCAACTACTTTATAATATTTATCACCGTCATTTGAAGAATTATCGGAGTTTGACTATAGTATGTTTGCATAAATCAAATACCAATACTATGATTCATTACAAAAAAAATGACGATATTAAGATATCATTTCGATGAATTTGTTAGACTCTAGTTATATGATGAAATTATGATATAGACTAATATAATGTAATTATTTAAGAGTGAAAGATCGTCTAAAAAAAAAAAAAAAAAAAAATTGTACATTTTTTTTTCTTTATTCGAATTGTTCATTTAATACTTTTAATATTTCTGCCCAATTTTTCTCGTAAAAAAATTATGTCGGAAGATAGAGAAACACTAGAACCTTACACTTATAGACACGATACTGGAACTTTTTTTCACACAAGTCCCGAACATGTTGAAGAAAAAAGTCATGATGCAACGCGAAATATTGTAAGAACGGTTTCCGAAGTTTCATCAAAAACTTCAACTAAGCTTGGCAGCGTAAAGATTTTTCAAAATCCACGTGAAATTCTTAGCCCAGTATTAAATGGAGTTCATTACCTTTGGGATCATTTCCCACCTCTTAGTTGGTTTGCTTATGTGGCTATTGTTTTAAATGCCATTCCTTTAACAGTCCTTTTGGCATTCCTGATTGGTACTACAGCTATTGTTTTATTCATTTCCGGTATTGGAATTTTCCTCGCCGCAGGTTTCTTTATTGGTCTCGGTTTACTTTTCCTTGTTCCTGTGGTTGGCGTTATGCTCTTTGCTGCAGTATCTACAGCTTTCTTTACTACATTTGGATATGGTAGTTATCGTTCATTTTTGTTTGTACTGCGCAATCTTGGCATTATTGCTGGGGAAGTTGCCGCTGACACTAGGGCTGCAATTACGGGCGCAAAGAAAGCTGTTGTGGAGGAACTACATGGAGAAGAACAAAATCAATAGTAATAGTGTTTTTTTTTTCATTGTGCATTGTAAACCGCTTATATTTTTACTAAGATGTATCTATATGAGAAATTTTCTTAATATGTTGAATCGCTTTTATAAATTAGGTCATCTTTTGTAAGATTCTTGTTATGCTATATTAATTGATAATTTTAGCATGTTTTCTTTTGTTCTTCGTTAAAGTTATCGGCTTTTGCGTCCAAAATGTTTGTCATACATCTTTCGATCAGCCGATTGAAATTATCGTTATCGTTATACAATTGTAATGCAATTGTTATACAATTGTTATACAATAATAAATTATGCTTATCGATCATGGTTTTAAAATTACAAATAATTATTATTAATAGATATCAGCTAATATATTTCATCACATCCCAACAAAATATTTTCATAATTTTTATCTTGTTGATTAAAAGATGTATTAAATAATTACTCTTCAAAAATGAAATTTCTCTGTTTGAAAAGTTCATTATGCATGCATTTCGTTTTGTTTTGTTTGTATTTTAAATTTCACTGTTTCTCCATTTTTACGTACTACTTATTCTTTGTTTACCCGAATATGTATATCACATTGTTATAGTTATTTATTTATTTATTTATCGGACTAAGTCGGCCGACTTTTTAAAGATTAAAAATTCTCTATATTTTACTTTCATTCAAAATATTAGGCAAAAATAAAATTTTAAATATTGGCAAAAATAACATTCCTGATGGGATAGAAAAAAAAAAAATAGCTTTACGTATTGTACATAGTTCTTAATAGAACCTGATAATAATGTGCTTAGTAATAATAAGATGCCAAAGTCTCGACTCTTAATTGATTCATAAAGTTGATCTCAATGTAAACCTAAAAATTTACTTTAACGTTGATCCTTAATAAATAAGGATATATCTAAAATTATTTAACAATCCTTTATTGTTTCTCGAATATTGAACTTTCAATTGAATTAGGCAGTCATTATTGCGCTTCAAAATTTTTGCGCCATTATTTTATACTTCGATAATAATTAGAGATGAGCAATGTAATAAAAATAACTTATTTTTTTTTTTTTACCCCTTTACTTATTTTTTTTTTACATATGATTACTAAATTATTTTTTACTACGATTGATCATTACCTATTACGATTCACAAATTCAATATTAAGATGACATAATTTTAAATCATAGGTTCATTTTGCAAAACCCACAGATTTTTTTACTTATTATTGTTAATTACGTAAAAATTTTGGTGGGTAATATTTAGTAATATTAAGTAATAATGCATATTGATAATTGCTCATCTCTAATAATTTTTAGGTTCCTATTAGGAACGATACATAATTCGATTTTTTTTTTTCTATCCCATCAAGAACAGTATCGACAATCTATCAAGAACTAGGGAACCTGTCACGGAAGTCACAGGCATGCCAAGCTAGCATACCAAAATATTTAAAAATATATAGGCATGCCTTCATAATTGAAATGATATAAATTATATTTATACAATCTAATTGGTTAAATAAGATTTAAGAAAATTTTTTTTATTATATAATTTTTTATTTATATTATGGCATGTCAGGTTTTCAATTAAAAACAGTATTTTTGTTACTAGATTAGTTTTTTTTTAATAATTTAAAATAAAAAACCAAGTTATCAAGTTATTTTTTAAAATTTTAAATTATAATAACTAAAAAATTAATTTTGTATATTTTAGTAAATTAAAAAAATAAGTTTATTATAGAATATTAAAAAAAAATTTTTTTTCAAAAAAATAAAATAATTAATTTAAAAAAACATATATATTAAATATAGAATAAAACTAATATAACACTTAGTATTTGAAACATAGATTTAATTTTTTATAAAAAATAAATTTTTTTTTTATAAAAAAAATAATTTTTTTTAAAAAAAATTATTTTTATTATACAAAAAAAAAAAGATTTATATATTATATTTCATTTTAATTTTTAATTATTTTTTTTAATATTTTTATATTATTTATTATATAAATATTATATATTTAAATAAAAATTATCTTAGATATAGATATAGTAGCAAAATATTTTATATTATAATATTGCTTTTTTTAATAATTAGCAAAACTTAAAAAATATAAATAAAAAAAATTATTATAATTTATTTTAGTAGTTAATATTAATTATTAATTATTTTTTAAAAAAATAATATAGTTAATATTTTTTTTCCTTTGACAGTTATGCTTTACACATAAATAACTAGTTTGCATAAGATTTAACTTAATACAAGAATCTATAGTTTCTCCTTATACATCTAATTTTCTAATAAAAAGCACTGCTTGATATTCTATTTGCATATGTACTCAAATATGATCTATCACACTAAAAACTTTTTTAATTTAAAGAAAAGAGAAGTCTAAATAATTTTGTCTAATTGTCTAGAAAGACAGACATTGACAAAAATAAAATAAAATTATTACATATAGTAAAAAACAAGGCTATATACTATATATAATGTTCAAAGTAAAGTTAGAAAAACTTGCTAACAAGATAAAAACCTAACAAGCTAAAAAGAAAAGATATAAAACAAAAACAAAAACAAAAAAGAAAATAAAGAGTGTCTTGTAAGAATTATAATCTAAATATACAATTCTATTCAAGACTGAGTAATTAAAAATTATAAATACAAAATGTACTTATTTGCAAATATCTCTAATATTTAATAATAATTCAGTTATTTTGTTGAATATGTGATAGCTCATTATTATTGCAGTAAACTTGTAGTTTATATTGCAAAATAAAATCATGTATTTGTTATGCTAACTCTAAAACATATACATGTTTGTTGTTGTTATACTATAAGCCTACTTTCAAATTCATTAATAATGTGCATACTAATTTTTAGTAGAAAGTGAGTTTCATTCCTTACTTTTTGTACAAAAAATACTTCAAGTTCACAAAACAGTCAAAACTGTTCCTAAGACTGACCAAAGGTTTAGAAGTAAGAGTAAGGATATCTAAAATAAACTTGAAAAGTATAAGAAGTAGTAT